TACCAAGTGAGTTCCAGGAAAGGCGCAAATCTACACAGAGAAACCCTGTCTCGAAAAACCAAAAAAAAAACAACATAGGTTTGTTTTTTTTTCTAAGTCCTGGCTGGCCTGAAACCCACCGAGATCAGCCTGTCTCTGCCTACCTGGTGTTGGGATTAAATGGTGTACCACCATGCACGGTCTGGTTTTGTTGTTTTGAGACAGGGTCTCATGTAGTCTAGGCTGGTCTTGAACTTGCTGTACAGCCAAGGATGTCCTTAAATTCCTGGCCCTCCTGCTCTCACTTCCAGAGTTCTGGGATGGCAGACACAGGCCACAACACCTAGCTCTTCCATTATTGGCACTTTGGGATCTTGTTAAAGAAGTCTTTCAGGCAGGTGAGCTGGTTCGGAGGGTAAAGGCATTGCCACCGAGCCTAAGACCTGGTTTTAATTCTGGGACCTACATCGTGGAAAGGAACTGACTCCTGAAAGCTGCCCTCTGACTTCCACATGTGTGCTATGGCATGTGCACACCCACACAAAATAAGTCAGTAGGTGTAATGTTTTGAAAAGAGAAATCGTTCCTCATCCCTGAGTCATACCTGTCACAGGGGTTTTCCCCGAAAATTCCATGCCTTTGTTTAGTTTGAAACTGTCCTGGAATGTCGGCTGTCCCTCCAGGCCTTTGCTGGCTCCTTTCTTCTCTCTTGCCACACCTCTGAGTCCCCACCCCCATTCTATTGCAGAACCATCTGTCCCCCAAGGTCCTGCCTTCCTATATGAACAGCAATGACCAAAGGCAAGGTCCAGGCTCAGCTCCAGCCTGGTGCCTCTGTCCTGGGAGCCCATTTCCTAGCCGGGAACACCTGCGAGATGGTGGCTGCTGCCGGAAGAGTGTGCCACTGAAGCTGACCCCACACAGGGCTCCGGGCCTCGCTGCTCTGGGTGGGTGCCTATGGCAACACCCTCATCCTCTGAGCCTCTTGCAGAACCGTTGATGGGATTCCACGGGATGCCTGGGAAAGCCTGGGCCTGAGGTAGCTGTTAGCCATCCCTGGCATTCTCCATTTAGTCAGAGCTGGAGAATCCTTCCAGTGCCTGTTATGTGAAGCCAGAGCTAAAGGCACCCTTTGAACTCAGAGAAAACACTAGGTATATGTAGAATGCTGGGGCTGTGATGGTTCACTGACTTGTACTCCTCAGCTGTACAGAGCAGGCCACTGAGGCCCAGAGAAGGTGGCAGGCTTGCTCAGTGTAATGTAGCAGGAATGGAAAAATTCCTGCAGGTCAGGCCTTCTGAGTGTTGGTACAGTATTGGTCATGGTAGACTCATGCTGGCCTGACCTGCACACAGTGACTCACATGATCCTTATGAGGCAGCAGGGCCCGAGACCTGCTTCCAACCAACCACACGAGCATACTTGTGACTTTATCACTTGTCTGTTTTTGCAAGTTTGTGGCCTGCCAAGCTGTGGAAGCCTCTGGGGAGACCACACAGCAGGGAAAGGGAATGGTCAGGGACTCAAGGAGCCTCAGGTGACAGACAACCACAAAACCAGGATGTCCAGCCTGCAGCTGAGGAAGTGAACTCTGCCATCAGCCTGGATGAACTTGGAAGCAGACACTCCAGCAGCCGAGCCTGCAGTGAAAAGTCAACCCCGTTAGTCCCTATTGCTACCTCCATGACAGCAGAACCAGACAGGCTGAGATAGATGACTCTGGACCTCAGAGGCACCTAGATGATGGCTGTGTGTTGTTCTGAGCTGTTGTGTTTGTGGGTACATTTGCAGCACACATACCCCCTGGGTGCTCCTAACCCAAGGGCAATTGTCCTGTTACATCACCACCCTGTGCTTACATCACCACCCTGTGATTACATCACCACTCTGTGCTACATCACCACCCTGCACTTACATCACCACTCTGCGCTTACATCACCACCCTGTGCTACATCACCACCCTGTGCT